TTTTTTTTTTTTTTTTTTTTGGTACCAGGGATCGAAATAGGAACCTTGCACTTTTGGGGCAGAAGGAAGAACCACTGAGCTAAATCCCGGCCCAAGAAGAAAATCTTTTTACTGTACCCTTGTTCTGTGTTGCAGAAGGTGCATGCTGCGGCTGGGAAGACCACAGTCTCCTTTTGTTTTGTTTGTTTGTTTGTTTGGTACTGGGGATCCAACTTGGGACCTTGTGCTTGCAAGGCAGGTGGTGGAACCACTGAGCTAAATCCCTGGCCCCACAGTCCCCTTTTGATCTCTGCCTTTTTTCATGACTTGAATGAGACCTTAGCAAGCAAACAGGCTGATCTCTGAAACCAACAGGCTATTCTCAATAAACAGGAGAGACAGCCTTCAAGAAAATTCAGGACAGAGAATTTATTAATCTGCCCAGTGCCAAGAAGCCCAGTGATTTTCTACACACCTGCACTGGCCATCCTTAGACTCTCAGTCATAAACATCCCTTTAGGATCATAGCCCCTTCCCAAGTACTATATAAATGTAATTTTCTTTTCCAGCTAGCTACTTACATCTGTCCCCCATTTCAGTCTCTGTTCACTGGAATAACCTTTTTTTTTTTTTTTCACAAAGCCTGGCTCTGAGTGGCCCCATACTCACAGTTGGTACCACAGTGCACTTCCTTCATCCCTGCCAAACCTGCACTTCTTGTAGGACTCTCTATAGCCAAGAGAGGCCCCTGTGTCCTTGTGATTGAAGCAAGAGTGATAGGGTTTCTGAGTCCTCGAGGTGTGTGCAGATGAGCACACCAAGACTGACAAAGTTCCTGCATCTCTTGCCTCCTCCCCGTGTCAGGGCAACTTCTTTTTCAGTACCTGGGATTGAACTCAGGACCTTGTGCTTGCAAGGCAGGCGCGTTGCCCCTGAGCTAAATCCCTGGCCCATAGGATAAGTTCTAACCTACACTTCACTCATCATCTCCAGAGTCTCCTAGGCCAGGTTCCAGCTGGAGTTCCTGCTCCTGCATTGCGTCAGCACCACCCCCCACAAGCCCACAACAAGCCCTCTGAGCTGACTGAGGCTACCATGTTACTCTTATTACTGTACTTCTCCCTCCAAATTTCCACTCCCCACACCCACAAAGCTCCTCACCTTAAGGGACAACACCAGGTGGAGGTGAGGTAGGTGGAGCACCCTTCAAGGGGAAAGTTGGAACCCTCCACTTTCGCAATTTCCTTCTTAACATTATTGCCTAGGTGGGCACCCCGGGCCTCACAAATTAGGGGGCAAGCTTGGTAGAGAAGGGATGCTTCCTGGACCTCTTGTTCTCAATATGGAAATTCTTACAGGGATCTCAGTGGGGGACACAATTTCTCAGTCCTACTGTCCCCATTGACTTCTCCATTTCTTTCTTTTTTCCTTCCTTTCTTTTTCTTCCTCCCTCCCTCCCTTCCTTCTCCCCCCGCCGCCATACCAGGGATGGATCGATCTCAAGACTGACAAAGTTCCTGCATCTCTTGCATCCTCCCCCTGTCAGGACAACTTCTTTTTCAGTACCTGGGATCGAACTCAGGACCTTGTGCTTGCAAGGCAGGCGCTGTGCCACTGAGCTAAATCCCCAGCCCAAAGTAGTGATTTTTTCTTTTCTTTTTCAGTACCAGGGATTGAAGTCAGGACCTTGTGTTTGACAGGGAGTCACAGCACCTCTGAGCTACATCCCCAGCCCTCCATTTCTTAATAGTCTCAGGAAGAGGGGAAGGGCTCTGGTTAAGCAAGGACTTCCTTAAATTTTCTCCCTTAAATCCCACATCTGGAGGCCTGTCCCACCCTACCAGCCCGTGACTCACTTCTCCCTCAATTTCTGAGGAGTTAGGAAGAGGTGACCCCCCCACCCCTGCATGGGATGGGGGGCAGCCAGGGCTCCACCCTTTACTGCCCCTCACGGTCCACCTGCCCGCTTGCGGGCTAAGGAGTAAGGTGAGAAGGAAGTGGGCAGAGGGGGCCTAGCTGGCCGCTGACTTGTAACCGCAGGGGTAGGGGTGGGCTTGGGGTTGGGGTAGGGGTGAGGGCGGGGATGGGTGGGGAAAGCAGTGGTGAGGTGCTGCACCTGCCAGAGCTGGGAACAGGACACCAGGTTCTTGTGCAGACAAAGCACCTGGCCTCCTCCCCATGCATGTCCTGTTATGATTTAGTTTTGCTCACTTAAGACAGCAGGACTGGGCAGGGGATTTAGCTCAGTGGTTCTACCTCCTGCCCAGAAAGTACACAAGGACCTGAGTTCAGAAAACTTTTTTGGGGGGCTGGGGATTTAGCTCAGTTCCGCCACCTACCTCGCAAGTGCAAGGATGGGAGTTCAATCCCCAGTACCAAAAAAAAATACAAAACTAAAACTTTTTTGGACCTGGTACCAAAAAAAAAAAAAAGACAAAAGACAACAGGACCATCCCAGCCACAGAACGGGGACAAAGGAGAGGAGACCCTGGTGCTGGCTCTCGGGAGGCCCCTCCCAGACACTCCAGCCATGGTCACGCCCAATTAGGGCACCACCTGGCCTGCATGAGATATCTTGATCCTTGGAAATCATCAGTTCAAATTTGACAAATGGGTAAACTGAGGCCTGGGGGCAGGAAATGAATCTGGCCCAGAATCTGGCCCGTGATTCTCTTGCCTGAGCCCCCAAACCCCCAAAACCAAGGTGTGAGTGTAAAATGTAATTCTTCAGGACGGCTGACCAGGTGAGTCAACCTTCCCATCTTTTGTACAGGCAAGCCCCC